ATTGTATTTAATTCACTTTGAAATTTACTAATTTTTTCCATTTGTCTTTTCTGGCTTTCTCTAAACTGGTGGAGTCTTTTTTTCCTATTTCTTTTCTTGTTCCAGTTGCCACTGATGCTGGTTTTCCTGCCATTGCTGTAGTCTCTCTGCTTGTTTATTTTCTTTCTCCTCCAACCATTGCTGTAGCTTCTCTGTTTGTTCTTTTCTTTCTCCTCCTACCACTGCTGTAGTCTCTCTTCTTGTTTATTTTCTCGTTCTTCTTGTTTCTTTTCTTTTTCCTCCAACAACTGTTCTAATCTCTCTTCTTGTTTATTTTGCGATTCACACACTTTACTTACGGAGACTACTTTTCGCTTGGCTCAATTATTTCTCTCTTCAATCTATCTCAAGCTTGTATACTAAAAAAGAGGGCATCTAGCAAACGCTGGGACATTCGTGAGGTTCTCCGATAAGTCACGATCCTTTTAGAAACTCCAGCGCGCATCGCCTGACTTCTGCTGTTGTAACATTATATTGGGTGACTGCTGTGTGAGGCATCGACCCATGGTTGAGAAAGTGACGGATTTGTACTAGATCTTACAACTAGCTGGTTGATAGATCAAAGACCCAAACATTTGAATACATATTTCAGTTACTAAACAAATATGTGACAGCTATAAAACAGGGTTTTATAGTTACCCTAAGTATTAGAGTGGAGGAAAGTACAGATATTAAAAAGAATCTTAGATTCTAATATGAGCATATCTAAAGGAAGATAAATCTTAAATAATAATAGACCAGTTGACATAGAGAAGGTAAATTAAAACCACCGTGATATGGATAGAAAACTTGGGCAAGAAGACTACCGTGATATGGCTAGAAATCTTGGGCGATAGGACTACCGTGATATGGCTAGAAAACTTGGGCGATAGGACTACTGTAAAATGGCTAGAAATCTTGGGCGATAGGACTAGCAACAGTGTACAAGAAATGGCAGTCATCTACTAAACAAAATATTTTGTTTTCCAGAGAGAATCTCATGACAACACGTCTAAAAGGCATCTTACCAGCGTAAGTCCATCTTATTGAACAGACAATTGAAATGCTGAAGGCTGTAGCGTAAGACTTTAAAATCCAATAGTATGGTGGAACCGTCAACGCTGTTTAGTGTGACAGACGTATATTTAACTATGTAGAAAGATACCGACAGTAAAAGTTCCAGTCATATGTTAATACATAGTGATATATTTGGCCGGCCACTATATTAAAAACTGAGTACTTTTTGAGACTTTGTCCTAACCTCAGCTGCAGATGCTAGTTAGGTTGATCACACAGTGTGTGAAGGTGATTCCTACAGCACTAGTAATGACTTGGATAATGTGTCAAGATAATCCCTACAGCGCTAGCAATGATTAGGACAATGTGTCCAGGTGATTCCTACAGCACTAGCAATGACTTGGACAATTTGTCAAGGTAATCTCTATAGTGCTAACAATGACTAGGACAAGCATATTTGCAGATAGCCTAGTAGAAATGCTGAAATGCATGGTGCATGATAAGTGCTCGTCTAGCAGGTGTTACAGTAGCTAAGACATTTTGATTGGTAGGCTGTTCCAAGACAATGTCATTCAAATTTATCAGCAAATAGAAAACTTTGAATAAAATGCTTATAGCGACGGAGAATTGTGGCCGCAAATACAATAATAGAAAGAGGAGGAAGACAGGATGATATATTCCACTCGCCATCAAACATCACACCAACAGATAGACAATTAGTGATGGGCAAACCATACCCATTTCCAGTCATTCCTTCTGAACATCATTGCAATAAGTGGACTATGGAAGTGGGAGACCATTATAATAAATGGACTACGGCAGTAGAAGATCATTGCAATAAATGAACTATGACAATAAGAGACCATTGCAATAAGTGGATTAGGAAAGTTGGAGACCACTGTAATAAATGGACTATGGCAGTAGAAAACCATTGTAATATAAGTAGACTATGGCAGTAGGAGACCATTGCAATAAGTGGATTATGACAGTATGAGACTATTGTAATAAATGGACTATGACAGTAGAAGACCATTACATAAACCATTGGATTGAGTTGCTAACAAGAATAAACGCCTTGAGTAGTGTAAAGAACATAGATATTGGACTAATAAGAACAATTTAAATGTGATGTAGTCCAGTGAATCACGCTTTACTTTTTTTGCATAGGTGAGAGAAGAAAGATTTCGAAAAAACATACAAAAATAACTTACTTCTGGTGTGTGGTCCAAACTGTACAGGACTCCGATTTGAAACATGTTTTACTGACATACCATTAGTCTCTTTAGAAGGCAGAATCAAAGCCATAACTCATCTCAGCATCATTTCTAATCCAGTATTTCTAAGAAGGCAAAATCAAAGACACAGCTTATCTCAACATCATTTCTGATCAAGTACTTCCAAGAAGTCAAAATCAAAGACATAACGTACCTCAGCATCATTTCTGATCAAGTACTTCCAAGAAGTCAAAATCAAAGACATAACGTACCTCAGCAGCATTTCTGATCCAGTACTTCCAAGACGACAGACTCAAAGACACTGCTTACCTCAACATCATTTCTGATTTAGTACTTCGAAGAAGACAGAATCAAAGACACACCTTACCTCAGCATCATTTCTTATTCAGTACTTCTAAAACGACAGAATCAAAGACACAGCTTACCTGAGCATCATTTCTGACCCAGTACTTTCAAGACGAGGATGTTTGTAACCACCATGATCAAATTATGCATAAGTGGTTTGAAAAACATAATGGAGATATCATGCATCTCCCATTGCCACCTAATCTCAATCCAATTGAATTCTATGAGATTAACTTGAAGATACATTCGTTTCACTATCCTCTGCTTCCCTCGCTCCTTGAACTGCCTACAGTATTCATTAACGGATGAGGAAAACCATCAGTGCAAATTCCAGAACCTTTTCGATTCTATGTCCCGTCATATCACGACTGTTAATAGGTCAAAAGCTGGCCCATCCCGATATTAGTTAGAAATCCCAGAAATACTGTTTATGTATAACCCGCAGTATAAGCGATAAAATCAAAATATAATGGTATTGTATGTGTAGATACCTTGGACAGTCCACAACTGAAGATACAAGTAAAGCAAGCATACTCCTCTACTATGCAGAATGCAATTGGCAGAGCTCTTGAATTTGAATCCTACGTTAAGTCCAGCACAGAGGTACCAAGGTTGGTACAGTCATCAGGATTCAATGCCAGAAAAGGGCAGCTTTCAGAGAGGTTTGAGGGACTTTGCTGGCACTGAAATAAACCTGGGCACAAGAGAGCTCAATGCTGGAAACTTCAACACATGGAAGATGCCACAGCAGAAAAGGCTGATTCCCAGAAAGGTTGTTGGAACTGTGGAGAGCAAGGAATTATAAGAAGCCAGTGT